ACAAACACCAAAAAGGAAATAACAATTACTGGAAAAACAAGCAAAACAAAATAAAAAATACTTCCGTTGCCGTTAGAAAATCCAAACCCTAGCCTCTTCTGCCCTCCACGGCGGCAGATCAGGAGGGGGACGAGCCGGCAGTACAGTAGCTTCTTTCCAATCTGTGAAGACAACTCCCATTACCAGAAATTCAGCTCCCTTCTCGGTTGAAAACATCTCTCCATCCTTCTTATCATCTAAATTCAAGTTGGTGTTTTCTTCCCCTAATACCGTCCTCTTGTACTGATGCATCACCTCTTCCATTCCTTCCACGCACCGCTCAAAGCCGTCGTAGAGAATCCGCCAAAGCCGCCGCTGCACCCTTCATCAACGCCGATACTGAATGTATCCGAACCGAAATCTTGCTCCAACCCGTTGTCTTTGCCGAAATCTAACTAATAAAAACGCGGTGGCAAGCCAAGAAGCCCGCCGCCGGACAAAACCCTAGGTCAACCTAGGCGGTGGCGCTAGAGTGAGAAGTTCCCTTAAAGTTAAGTGAGCCTTTACTCGTGATATTTTTTAGTAGAAGTTAGTGCATTCATGTGGTTGGGCCCCTAGTAGAGTTAATACATGCAAAAGCATTTTTGTTAAACACAAAAAAGTAGAGTTAATACATGAAAATTTTCAAACTTTTACTCATATGTGATTTTTGAGCATGTTGTGCTTCTATTTCTTTTCAAACTTCCACTATTATTTAATAATCATGTTAAACCAAAGCATGATACATGAATTGAGAAAGTAGTAGGAGTACCAGATATATTTACTTAGATTGTTTTTGAGTATAATATCAAATCAGACCAAACTAAATTTGGATAGTTATAAAATAAACAGAGATCATACATTTAGCAGATCAGATCAGACTAGTTCAGGTGCGATCAGATCAAATCTCCATTTAATGATGTACGTTTTGCGAGGATAAAAGTTAAAAGAGGCGAAGCGGGGGAAAAGCAAAACAGGCGCCGCGTTCTCTCAGGTAAGAAACGGAAAATTCAGGGAATGAAACTCCCGCTCCAGCGGCTAACGAACAAATGGCATCATTTCAAAATTTCAAAACCCCTCTCTTTTAACTCCGCCACCGCCAACAACCCTTTCTCAAAAGCCCCAAATATCGAAGATCTGTAACTATAGACACTAGTTTACCTACACAGAAGCGGATTTCGCGGTGAGACGGGTTAGATCTGCAGCGATTCATGGCTTTAGCTCTTTCTGTTTCCGAAGATTCTCGATCTGTTTATTGCCGGAAACAGAAGTCACTCAGTCTCCTATGTTCAAAGTACGGTCTTTTCTCTCCCCTATCACTCACTCTACTTTCTTTTGTGGTTAAGCTCATGAATATGCCTGTATCCCCAGCTAAGTACTGTGGGTGGATACTACAATTCGACGGTTTGTTACTGTCGCATATTGATGCAAGCAATTTTTCTTTTTTCTTTTTTTCGTGGCATGGTTATGCAGTTTTTTGAGCTTGTATGACCGTGAAGGAGTTGAAACTATTGGACTTGATGATGCAGCAAAACAGTTAGGTATTGATTCAATAATCCCTCGACAGAATTTTGTTATGTATGCACGATTTTTGTATGTGGTGATGAAGTGTATCTTTTGAGGTTAAGGCATGTTTGGTTGTGATGTTAGGGGTTGAAAGACGGAGGATCTATGACATTGTGAATGTTCTTGAAAGCGTTGGTGTAAGACATTCCAACTTGGCCTTAATCTCATATTGGATCAGATTTATATGGGTTATATTACTGATAGTTGCTTCAACCTCTTCTTTTTGCCTATTGTTGATTGTTCAGGTTCTTTCAAGAAAGGCAAAGAATATGTATTCGTGGAATGGATTCGAAGCAATCCCTGGAACTTTTCAAAAACTAAAGGTAGGAAGCCATGTATTAGCATTATTGTTATAGCTTATTTGCTATATCATCTTAAACGTTGAAGCGCATAAACCCCAGCTCCCAATTTTTAACGTTTTTCACTTAAACGTGGCTTGTAATGGGACAGGAGGAAGGTTTAAAGGATAGAATTGGTGGATATGGTGGAAATTTGTCTATCAAAGTATGATCTTTAATTTGAACTCTGAATGTAAACTTTTGAATGTATTTATGATTTTATGCAGATAAGGACATAATGTATTTATAGTTCTTTTGTTATTTTCGCACTAAATTATATGTTGACTTTCACATATAGAGATGGGATGATGGGGAAGACGACAGACTCTCAAATCCTGTCCTTTCAAGCCAAAGTGACAAATCAGTCCCCGTTGCATCTCCTAATTTGGTAGACTCCTCTAAACCAGGTATTTCCGCTGCAATACTTTTTTATGAAGTGATATTTTTTTGTTTTATCAAATTCATTGAGCCAAGCAATGATCCCCTTTCACTCCTTTCAGACAATAAAAGAGAGAAATCTCTGGGGCTTCTCACACGAAACTTTATTAAGCTCTTCCTATGCAGTGATGTAAGTTGGCATGTACTCCGTAATTTTTAAAGCTCGTGTATATCTTATCATCTCACGGAACTTGTGGCTTTGGGAAGTTCTTAAATCTTATGCGATGATTGCTGTTTCAACAGATAGATATGATTTGCTTGGATGAAGCTGCAAATATTTTACTGGGAGATGGGAGGCCTCCATCAATAAACAGAAGTAATGGACTTGAATTTTAATCTGGATTTCGGAGGCATCATTTTGCATATTTGTTGACAAACTCACGTATTTTTTTGGGTACACTTTCGCAGCTAAAGTTAGAAGACTGTATGATATTGCTAATGTCTTGTCCTCGATAAAATTCATTGAGAAGGTAATATAACTGCACTTATATCTGAGGTTTGAATATTGTTTTAGCCCTTGTAAGTATAGCATTCATTGTTTAAGGTCCCTGTATTGTCATTTGTATTTTGTCCCTTTACTTGACACTAATGTTTTTATTCCCTTTTCAATCCTCTAACAACCTCTATTTAGCAACAAAACTGTTATGACAAACGCGATTCTTCTATTCTTACGTTTTCAAGTGATTTTCTTATAAAAAATTACTATGTACTTCATCAGCATAGAACTATAGAGAGACTTATATTGCAAATGTGAATGATAAGTATACATTAGTTTTAGCTCTACTAATAGCTTCCAAAAAGATATAAATTTACATGGAAAGTTTAAAGAGGAGTTATGCATGCCACACATTTTTTTTTGTAAATGGAGATTGCTCAAAGTTATTTCCATCATTTGCAATGGAGCCAAAGATTCAGTATTTTTTGGCTTGAGATTATGATGGAATAAAGCAAAATGACTCACTAAACTGTCTGCACTTCTTTGTTATGAAGCAGCAGTCAGTCCATGCAATTTTGGATGCGATTTTCACTATGGGTCATCCGGAAACAGTCTCTTTGTGCTTTAGTACAGGGGTAAATGAAAATGAAAAAAATGGAGATTGCTCAAAGTTAGAGGGAGACAAAAGAAAATAACATTAGTTACATGGATGAAGAATTTAAAAATTAATTTACAACGATCTAAAACTAAGTCTAAAATGCTATTTTTGCAAGGCCCAAAAACATATTTAAGCCTACATCTGATATCTCACACATATCAAAATTCTTCAGCTAAGTTTACGTAGACTGTGAGTCGGATATATATAACCATAGATAGATTTGTAAAGCTTTGAACTTTTGATATTTGCACTACTGGTTTTAATATGGAATGGTAGTGCAGATACATCACCCTGAAACAAGAAAACCTGCATTCAAATGGTTGGGGCTGAAAGGAAAATCAGAAAACCAAGCAGCTAATACGTCAGAGAGTAGCTTGGGTTTGAATCAATTCAAGAAGAGGCCATTTGGTACTGACCTCACAAATACAACTACAAAGAGAGGCAAAGCTACTGCCAAATGTATCGATCCCTGCTCCAGTGAATCAACAAAATCAAAACTACTATCTGTACAAGTGAAATGTGAGAGTATTGAAAATGAAGTTAACAGGCCAAAAGAGGAGCTTGATTTAAGAACAAAACGCAAGGGTTATGAATTTGGCCCGTTCGCACCTGTAGATGTGCCTAAAGTTGAATCTTCAATGAATAGTGGGGGAAAAGAGGTTATTTGCGAGTGGGAAAGCTTAGCAGCATCAACCTCTCATCCTCAGTATCATAACCAAGGTATTGGTTGATTGCTTTAAACTTTTGTCTAGTCATTTTAAATCTTCTCTCTGTCTTATTGTTTTACAAGGCTGATGCTGATTTGCAAGGTTGAACTAAAAAAATTATTACAGTCTCCATTTATTCTTGTTACAGGGTCGATGCTGATTTCAACCTTTCAACTTTATATTTGTTGGTAGTTACACTAGTGTACATATACATACTTGGGAGAAAAAGTCTTCTTGGAAACTGCATTATATGTAAAGACTGCACCAGCAGCGTTAAGGGGAAAATAATAGCGAACTGATTTTTTCTATGATACAGAGAGTCTTAGAAAGTTGTGTTTTTGCGCTTATAAATTGAAAAAATAGATTTTTTTCGGACAGCAAATTTTCTGTTAAAGGTTTGTGTTTCCACGCATACATATTTTTATGTCTTTCTGTGTTTGTGCAACATAAGATCCATAAAATATTTCTGGATATCATTTTCGTCTGATTTCAAATCCTTGCTAATGAACCTGACTTTCTCTTTTGGGGGTTTTCAGCATTAAGAGATCTCTTTTCACATTACAAGGAAGCATGGAAGTCTTGGTACTCGGAAATCGCTGGGAAGAAACCAATTGAGTCTCTATCCTAACCCCTACATATTACAACATATATAACACAGGAGGGATTATCTGATATCAAATGCATATTGAAATGCATGTAAAAGTGAATTGTATGAACTTGTGAATGCCCTCTTTTTATACGGCCTGTTCGGTCAACTGTTAGGTACACTGTACACATGTTCATTTTCAAAATTGACTCCCACCCATTTACGAATTCATCTCAAATTAATTCCAGATGACATGTGTTTATAATTTGTGAAATACAAGTTACAAAGCTAATCGTTACTTTTATGGCTCGTTTTTTCATTTCATCTCAAATCAATACCACTTTTTTTTCACTTGGAGAATAAGGATTATATTCACGGAGGAGAAGTGGGGTGGGTGTTGGGATGGAGCGGGTCCAAGCGTGCAGGGATGAGTTATACCACTTATACGCCCCTGCCCCATTCCCGCTCTGTCCCCTGCACACACATAATAATCAATAATAATAATCCAAATACTACGTAATAATTAATAATAGTAAATCAGTAATGGTAATAAAAATAATGGTAGTGGACAGTGGACAGTGGACTGGTGCTTCTGGCCTCTACATGCAGGAACATGTCAAAGAGTAAAGTGTAAAACTTAAAAGTTAAAATAGTCTACAATGGTTATATATATTGTGTAGCCCGCAACTACCGGAAGTGAACTTGGTCCAACCATACACCAAACTGCATTAACAAACTGTGTGTCATGACTCTTTTACTTGCTTTGCAAATTGTTTCATATAAATATGAGAAATACTCTATTAAATGAAAACGAAGTATTACCTCTTTTCCATATTGGTTGTCTTGTTTTAGTTTAGAACAAATACTAATAAAGTGGTTGAAAAAAATAAAAGTTGTGCTTAAGATTTGGGTAGAATAGAATCAAATGATATGGACCACATATTTCTTGCCAAAAAAGAAAATATGATATTCATTTTAAGACAACTCAAGGAAAGTAAAACAATCAAAATGGGACAGAGAGAGTACATGACTTTGTTTAAATAAATTTGGTACAAGTAGGTATACAATATACACCAAGAGCTGAATCAGCATAGAAGAAAGCAAGAACGAAGAAGAGTGTATGTACCTGGGGCCTACTAATGCAGAAATGATCCTCAACAACTTGGCATTAGATAGAAATACCCTAGTTTCATACTTGACAGAAAAAGTTCCATGAACAAAGCCAAGTAGGATTACAAGTTCTCTCTAAATTCCACTTTAAGAAACTGTAGAAGGGGTTAATTTCAATATGAATCTAAGAAAGATGTATCTCTACGATGATGGTGGCTGCATCTCCACATTGCAACTCACTGGAACGATTTCTTTGCCAGACGAAGATTCTGCTTCTTGTTTCATGTCAGTGTTCATCCGTTGTACCGGTGGTGGCTCTACAATCGTTACAGAGGAAGTGTTTTCAGCCAGGTGATTCCTCATCTCTCTGTACTCCTGGCAGACGGCACACCAATGCAAGCAGCAATGCACCAAACATGGATCACACGGTGAGTCCTAGGAGAAACCATGGCAAGACATAGCTCACAAATCAGCTTGGTCATTATGAATTAGTTTGACATAGCCGAGAAAAGTACATGTAATAATACATATATAACGTTATACATGCACTGCATAATAGCAAAATCTTGCCTGCATATTTGTTATTAATGATATTACATTATAAAAAGTCAACCGATTAGGGAGTGCCCCATGTTTGACCTGCAAGTTATGAGAAGTATCTCAAAGTCTTATGTGTAAGTTTAGATCTTTATATTTGACCAATGTGAGACAACTTACCAACTTCCGCAAAATCCTTTAAAAAAAAACTTCTGCAAAATGTTGACCTAACATGTGTGTGTTCTTTTTTTAGTCTTGTTTTCCCCCAAATCATATTAAAAAAATTCGATAAAACCTTAATGTATAATATCTAAAAAAATAACAAATCCATATCTGGATAACACCCTTAGTAATGGTCAACCTTGATAACCTTCATGAGTTAATAGCTTGAGTGTATATCTTTATATCTGTCTAAAAAGTTTATGGTAGGACTGATAACCTATACTGGCATGGCCAGGCAAGCACTGTAGAGAAACTTTATGGTAGGACTGACAGTTGCATGAAAGGTTATGGATGTGTAGTTCATTATTTCATTAAAAAGTTGGATCACCTTCAAATGGTACTTTCTCTGCAATGCTTGCCTGGCCATGCCAGTATAGATGCCACAGACCCACCATGTAAAGAGTAGACCCTCAGTAATGAGACACATAGTATCGGGATCAATGCCATGCATTGCTGCTGTTGCAACAGCCAGTGTGATGCCTCCTTCAACACAAATGATATGGCCACCACATGCCCCTGCTTGGGATATTTCTTCATTCAAGCTCTCGACATTCCGCCCGAACAATACACATGGACAAAACAGTCCAGTCAAGCCTACAAATTGACAATAGAAGTTGAAGGGTGGATAATATTGTCAGCACTGCAGAACGTGTCTTTTAAATGTGATGAAACAAAGAGGCAATGTTTTTTTATATATACACAGATTATTAGGATGTATTATTCGTTAAATAGTTGTGTTGCAAAACAACAACATCCAAGCCTTATTCCCATCAGAGTTTGGGGGTCACCTAACATGAATCGACATATGATATGGGAGTTAAAAAAATTAAAGAGGTGTTTGGTGTCCATTAGAAAAGACTCGCAAAAGATTAGAAAAAAGTATTATCTTTTGATCAAATGGAATAACAGTTAAGTAGTTAACTACAAGCAACCTAAACTTAAGTTGAAATCAGCTTAGTTTTTATGGACATCATGTTTGTGTGTGTTCAGGTGTATGTTTAGGGCTAATAAACCCCTCAATGTCTGGTAGATGCATTTGGCACCACCTACTAATCTGTAATGAACATCAAGTTTTCGTTTGAATAACATTTTCTGGAAAACATTTCTTAGATGGTGGCTCTTATGCAATTAATCAAGAACCCCTTCAGAATGCATATTTATTTCCGCACAGGCATGCACCAACTTTAGAACGCACAAGTATAATAAGGAAGTGGGCACAACACTCACAGCTATCAATGTCTTCTGTGCAACCAAAAATCCCTGTGGTCCAATCTTCATCAGCAGGGGGTTGGTGGCTTTTGGGCAAGGGTTGCCCACATTCAGGGCATTTCCGACAAGTCAGCTGTAAAATTACAAAATCCGATCAGTTGAAATGTTTCAATAAAAATACGATTCATGGTCAGTACATTCACAGAAATAAAAAAGTTTTACTCTCTTTTGTTACGATGAATGGAATAACCAATCATGTGTTACTTCTGCATTGGACAAGCAAATTCCTAACAAGCTCGAATTCAAACTCAAATGGAAAATACGTGCTTTCAAACTCCGTGTTAGATTAAATCAAAAGAATTGCAGGAAAGAAATATAGATGAGAAAAACATATTTTTAAATATAAAAAACACATTGCAAAACAAAAACAGAAATCATAAACACGATGAAATGTGATCGAATCTGAAGGAATCATAAAGGCAATCTGGCACGTCGTGTAAACATGAAATGAAATGCGTACCTTGTCAATATCAATGGGTTGGTTAAGCTCGCCGGGGGTGATATTGTCGACGGCATCTTGTTCCTTGTTGAGCTGCACATATGTCCCCTCTGCCATTTTTTATCATCGAATAATCTCAAATTTAGGAAGATTTCCTAATGTATGTTATGACCAAGAATCCAAGATACAGGTTTATATATGAAGAACACCAAAATGTGTGAATCCGGTGAAGAAACGGTCGCATATAATCGGGACGGAGAAAAAAATGTTTTCCATTGCTTAATAAAAGTGCTTTTGAACTTTTAGCTTAAAAAAAGTTGAAAGGAGTGTTTTCAAATGACAGCTTCTGCTTAAATTAATCACTTAAAAGCTAAAAGCTGGAAGCAGGTGGAAGGATGCTTTAAACTGCTTTTCACTTTTCTTATTACACAAAAAGTACTTATTTTACCAAACACTACCAATTTTTACTTTTTCAGAATCACTTTTTTCTCAAACACTACCAACTTTTACTATTAAGTACTTTCTCCAAAATCACTTTAAAAAATCACTTTTTTAAAGTAGAAACAATCGCAAACACTCCCTTAGGAGGGTCCGTTTGCAAGGGCTTTTGAAAAAAGTGCTTTTTTAAATGAAATAGGGAAAAATGTTTAAGAGAGTGCTTGCAATTGCTTCAACTTTTAAAAAGTGATTTTTTAAAGTGATTTTGGGAAAATTGATTAACAGTAAAAGTTGGTAGTGTTTGAGAAAAAAGTGATTCTGAAAAAGTAAAAGTTGGCAGTGTTTTGTAAAATAAGTACTTTTTGTGTAATAGAAAAAGTGAGAAGCAGTTTAAAGCACCCTTCTTCCTGCTTCCAGCGTTTAGCTTTTAAGTTATTAATTTAAGCAGAAGCTGTCATTTGAAAACACTCTTTTCAGCTTTTTTTAAGCCAAAAGCTAAAAAACACTTTTTTAAAGCAATCCCAAACACTCCTTAAATAAAAGTTATACTGTTTGAGAAAAAAGTGATTTTGAAAACTAAAAGTGGGTAGTGTTTGGTAAAATAAGTGCTTTTTGTGTAATAGAAAAAGTAAAAGCACTTTTGACGCGGAAGCCGAGAAAAATAAAAGTTGTAGTGTTTGGGAAAATAAGTGTTTTTTAAAAGCCAAAAGCTGAGAAGTGTTTTTTTAAAAGCACTTGCAAACCAACCCTTAGTATTTCAAGTTGAGAAGGACCCTCGATTTTATTGTACAAACATTTTTCTAAAACTATCAAAAAAAGTCAAACAAGTTCATCTACTTTTACTAAAAAGTCAATTGAGTCCACATACTTTTTAATGAAACAATAAAGTCCACAAACTGTCAAAAATTAACCAAATCGTCCATTTGACCGGTCATCTATTACTCCCTCCGTCCCAATTTGTTTTGCAAAGTCAACAATTTTTAGTCAATCAATAATAAAAGTCAACCCTCCGTATAGATAATTAATTCAGTTTTTAATAATTAAAATTTACATATTCATAAACTACATTAAAATCTCTTCAAAGTTGTAAACTCCAAATTAGAACATAATTAAAAATTGACATCCAAATTAAGTGAACAAAACGAGACTGTTTGACTAAGAAAAGTCAAATTTGCATCTCTTTTTGGGACGGAGGTAGTAACATTTTCTACTTTTATAAATTTTTTTAGGGAAAAGGTGCAAATAGACCCATGTACTAACCAAAAAAGGTCAAATAAGCCCTTATTTAGGAGGCTCTGTCCGGCCGTCGCCATTTGAGGTGGTTCCCGTTGAAATTTCTTGATGAAATTTTTTGAGCATCTTATTCATTAAGTCTAGTTTACTCATACTAAATTTCAGCTAAAATTTCAATCGGGAAGGCATTCAAATGAATTCTTGAAAATAACTGTGCAGTTAGAAGCGCAATAATTTGGTATGAGTAAACTAGACTTGATGAATAAGAATTCATTTGAAGATTATTGCGCTTCTAACTGCACAAATTCTTATGAATAAGATGCTAAAAAAATTTCATCAAAAAATTCTACCAGGAACCACCCCAAATGATGGCGACCGAACAGAGTCTCCTAAATAAGGGCTTATTTGACCTTTTTTTGTTAGTACATGGGCCTATTTGCACCTTTTCCCATTTTTTTTAATTCGTTTTTCTTTCATCGGTTCCCTGCGTCTACTACAACTCTAGCAGGAGTGGAGCTTTGTTTACAATAGTCATTCAATCTGCTCCCCTAGGCCGATCCACCAGTTTATGGAGGCTGGGGCAGGGGCGGTGGTGGTTATGGAGGTAGCAGTGGCGGTTATGGAGGTAACAGTGGCTATGGAAGTCGGGGCAGCTGTTACAGGTCGCTCCAATGGAGAAGATGAAGGTGAAGCCGCGGAGGTGGGCGAGGCGAAGGTGGAAGCGAAGGTGGTTGGAGGTCGCTTCAATAGAGGGGGCGTAGGTGGAGGCCGCAGGCGGTACGTGGTGGTGGTGATAGAGGACAGGGCGGTGGAGGTCGCGGTGGTGGTTTGGAGGTGGGGCGGCTGACATGGAGAAAGTGGTAGAATGAGACCGCAAGTGGAGGTGGGCAGGGCCGGCTAGAGCAAATATGGGGCGGTCATATAGAAATTTTGTTTAGATACGGAGTATGTTTTATGTAGCACAATGATGATAAAAAAATATCAATTAAATTGAAGTAAATTAGATATGAAATACTCTTCTGTCCCGCCAAGATTGTCTCATCTTTTTTTTCGATCCGTCTTACTAAGATTATTGTCATGTCAAATTTGATAAAATATGTGTGCTTCTAACTCATTTTCTTACTAATTGTGTCATCTCTTCTGATCTTGATATTAGTGGGACGACAGAGGTATTACATCATATACTATTAACATATATTCTTTAAAAGCTAAAGATAGAGGAAGAAGGTTTTGTGCTTACATAAAACACAGGAAAGTGATTTTATGATCAAATCATTTTCTAGTACTTTTTTTTTTTGGATGAAATGTAAATTATATAACATTCAAGCAAAATTTAACATGTACAATGTGTCCAAAAATCAAAAAGCCCCGCCACCCCCTCCTATTTCGTGAGAAAAGGAAAGGGTGAGAAGAGGCTTATAGTCTAGTCTAAGTCAATCTCGGCCTATACGCAAAGGTTGAGACCAAGGGTTGATGTAATTGAGAGAAGTTTATTCAAAATATAAAATTTCGTTTTCCAATCATCACAAAGCATAAAATTTCATTCAAAATAATACTAAATGGAGTATAATAAATCAATTTAAAAGATTAATAAAATTTCATTCACTAAATTTAATGACATATAAAAGATTATAGGTACACAATTTCAATAAATCAAAGTTACAAATTACAATTAATATCTTAGAATACTCGTATATACGATGTATATCCCTACTGACCTAGGCCCCTAGCCAACTACGGTCTACGGAGTACAAATCAAACAAAGAAAAAACTAAAGAACAAATATTATACGGAGTAATAAAATAACAATATACTAGTAACGAATTTACTCATGGAAAAACCTCAAGCCTGGGATGCCTATTTGGATTCCAACTCTGAAGACGCAAAGTCTGGTCAACTCCTTGCAGCTTCGTTTTTTTTCTTGACAAAAAAATAAAAGGATGAATTGGAGAATCGACCCCATAACATCAATAGAAGCAGATTCTTCTTACCAGCGAAGTATCCAAACGAACCAACGGAACTTTTGTTTACAATTAAACTTGAAAACATATACATAAATATATAGGCTTACTCTAAAAATTAGAGACCCCTAAAATTTGGAGGCCCTAGACATTTGTCTAGGGTACCTGCCCCTATGGCCGGCCCTGGAGGTGGGGCCTGAAACAAGAAAGCAGGGAATGGAAGCGGAGAAAGGCTGGGAAGGGAGTGGAGGAGAAAGAGGAGAAAAAGAATAAAAAAAGAAATAAAAAGGAAAAGAATATATAAAAAATTGGAAAACAATAAATAAAAAAACAGCTAGACAATCTGACCGGGAAACCGAGTGATTACCGGTCAAATGGACTATTTGATTAATTTTTTATACTTCATGGACTCAATTGATTCATTAAAAAGTATGTGGACTCAATTGACTTTTTAGTAAAAGTAGATGGACTTATTTGACAGTTTTTCCTATATTATATTATATAGGAGGCTCTGTCCGGTCGTCGCGATTTGGGGTGATTCCTGGTGGAATTTTTTGATGACATTTTTTGAACATCTTATTCATCAAGTCTAGTTTACTCATACCAAATTTCAGCTAAAACTTCAGTCGGGAACGTATTCAAATTAATTCTTGAAGATAACTGCGCATTTAACTGCACAGTTATCTGACCTGGATTAAATGTATATGTGTGCAGTGTGCTGACCTGGATTAGTGATGTGGCCTGGTGGAAATGAAATTTAGCTAGAGTGCTGACATGACATGATGCCAAGGCAAAAGTACCCCTAATTGGGAAATAAGATTAGAAAGTACACCTCCCCGGGAAATAATACCACTATTTATATACTCCGTATTTACTAACCAAAATCCGTAAGTCCTGTAGTCTCATCTTCACCGCTCCTAGGCCGTCTACAACTCTACATCTAGGCATGGCAATGGGCCGAGGCAGGTACTGCAAGACCCGGACCCGCCCCGTGACTTCACTGGGTGGACCCGCCCCGCCCCGTGACCCGCACAGATCCAAATTGTTGACCCATGCCCCGCCCCGCCCCGCCGTAATCAAATTAGCCATTATGATTTTCTATTTGTGTGAAGTTATTATCACTTGAATCTATACAAAGTTTATCTTTAAACAATTATTAAAAAGATAATATATTAAATTAAAGTCAAAATACGATAAAATTTTCAAAAATTAAGAAAAAAGTACTTAGACTTGAATGATTAATTTATTTATATTAATAATACAATATATAAATTAAAATTCTATATTTAAAAAAGACATTAATAATTCATCGTCCATCTCATTCAAATATAAATATTTATATATTATAAGACGAGAGAGGTTATGATTTATTATATGCACGCATGTGTATGTAGAAGTAGTATATTTGTAGTATTTTTTTCTAAAAATATGTATACTTATACATTGAGCGGGGTGGGTCAGGGCAGGGCGGCACAAGTCAATACTAATACCCTGACCCACCCCATTGTATTGGCGGGGCGGGGCGGACCCGCCCCATTTGCAAGACGGGGCGGATTCGCCTCAAATGTCTCGGGCCAAGGCGGGCGGTTTTTTTTGCATGCCTATCTGCATCTAATGAAAAGCATTCCATTATTTTAAATGTATAGATGTAT